ACAGTCTTTTACTGTTAAATTCACGGTCATTTTTTACAGTGTAGATTTAACCCTGTAAAGTCTGACATATGAAACAATAGTCTAAAAACGGTTTTGAAGCTGAAGAGTTTATTGAACCTTCAGACAAAATATTTAAAAAGAGTGTGCATATGTGTTTCTGATGAGTATCATATTTGATCCATCAGGCTTTTATGGCTCATATAGCCTGATATAGTGAGAAAACAGCTCAGTTTTATTCAGTTTTGGTGCAGATGCTGGTTTATATGATGTTTGAAATGTAAATCAGTGAGATCTTTATAACAGTGTAGCACATTCTTAATAAAATGATCTAAATATCAGTGGTCACTCTATATCTCCAATAACATGTCTTAGTAAGATGAGATTGAAATGATCCAAACATATAATGTGATGCAATCCAATGCTGATTGAGAGCTGAAGAAATAACCGCTCCTCAGAAGATGTGAGATGTTCTGGAGGCTTGTGAAGATCATTCCTCCGCTGAGGAACAGTGAAAGTAAAGCTTCTGGAAACAAACGCTCCTCAAAAGATCCTGAGGATCAGATTTGAGACTCTAAAACATGATTGATGGAGAATCAAGTAAAGCTGAGCTGCTTCAGTCCAGAAAGTGTTCATCTGGAAATATGACTGCAGTCATTCAGACCTTTACTTGATAAAAATCAGTCAAAATTTGACAGCAGAAAGACACATGAAGTACAACTACACTAAAAGAGCTTTTACGTGATAAAAAAGTCTAAACTATCAATCAGACGACAGGAGGCATGGAGTTGATTGTGTCACACAGTAAAGTTTGATCATTTACAGGCCTTGGATGAATATGACTTAGAAGGTTTTATAGGGTTAAAACACACTTTTGGGCTTGGATTATCTTGTAAATGCCAATAAACACGCTCACATGCGGATCTTTCAGGTATGAACTGGGCGCCGGTCTGTATCTGGGATGGGCGGCTGCAGCTCTGGCTATATTGGGCGGAGGAATCCTCTGCACTTCCTTTAAGAGTTCAAGACCTGCCAAAACACGGTGAGTCTCTTACCAGAGACGGATCACAGCTCTGAAACGTCATCTGTGATGAACACAACAACAACGAGTCATGACTTTCTTTATTCTCTCTCTTTCTCAGGGGTCACGACTATAACTACAGCTCTTCACAGCCGCAGAAGATCTACAGATCAGCGCCGGCGTCAGAAAACAGCACCTCTAAAGCTTATGTCTGAGCCTCTCATTTTAGCTTTCATTTTTTTGTACATGGAAATGTGTATTTTTTTAGTTCTTGCATTTTAGAAGTCGAACAAATTGAGCTTATTCCATTGACTGAATGTACACGATTCATCAGCGTTGATTTCGTAATGAGTTCGTTATTTCATAATCTTGCATTAAAAATGTATATAGCTTTCTTAGCTAATATGAAAAGACTTCAGTTTTCAAGTTTCAACTAGCAGAGGCTGGCAGTGTTTCAGAATTAGATCATCTATAATTCACTGCATGTAAAATATCAGCTTTGACTCGATTCTGATACGAAACACTCACTTTACGGTGGAGTTATTATAGTGAACTAAAGCCAAGATCTTTGAAAAAACTGAAATAAAATATTTTGCCTGTAACTTATTTTATTTCAGATAGTTGCCAAGGCAATATTTCTCATTTTCATTTAGTTTAACTTGATGTACTTAAATAACTAAAACTAAAATGGAAATAAAAAGGTATTAAAACTATAGAAACTAATACAAATGACAAAAAGACACAACAAAATTACTAAAACTTTAACTAAAATTTTAACTAATTCAAAATATGAATAAAAACTGTAACAGTATCTTAATAATATTGCTTTACACCATCACATCAATTCTGTATGTCATGTAAATTTTCATGCTATGGATCAATTTAGTATGTTATATAAATGTTACATGGTCTGTTCTGGTGTTTTGAAAAGCTCATTGTTTTCTGAAATTGCTAGTATGTGTGTTTTGTCATTGTTTCTGTGAATAAAGCAATTCTGTGACGTTTTTGCAATCATGCAAACTGTTTTTCTTTTTCATGTTTTACTGCAGTTATCAGCCAAATCCCAGAGATTTCTTTCATTTTCAGTTTTATTGAAAACCGTGTGTAAAGCGTGTGCTTGATTCCTTTGACAACAAGCTGTTAAAATAATTGACTTTGTCCCTTCGGCTGGATTGGATTGGATATGACAATAAAGTTTCATAAAACAGTACATTTCTAAACCTTATCTTGACATTTCTTGAAAATGCAAACATATCAGGCAATAAAAAACAGATGATAAATCTATTATTTTAACCAAAATGCAAAATGGGAGCAGCATTTGTGACTGTTTGAAATATTAACCTTATGACTTATATAAAGAAATGTATATAAAACGCTTCCAAATAGCCTAATTATAATTTGCTCACCGTATTATCCTGAAAATATTACTTATATTATTTTTTGTTGTTGTTGTTTTTAAGAGTTTTTTTTAAAAACAAACATATTCAAATAACTGATATAATGTTCTTGTTTATGGATTGTGATACAGGATTATTAGAGATAATTAGTTTTTTTATAGAACTCATGTTTTGTAACTCTATTTTCCAGTTGAAATCTCAATACATAAATCTTTAAAGCTAAAAAAAATAATAGATTTTTTTAATTAACCGAATTTTATGTTTTATCATGGTTACCCTCTCTATATTATGTATTTGTTCTCTTCATTTTTAATTTTTTTAATTCATGAGTCATGCAGGCTTTTTTTTGAAGGGAAAACGTGGGAAGCACGCGGTCGTGACGTAAATCTCCCGCGACGGCGCAGCAGGAAACAGACGTCTGTTGAGCCAAAATGGCGTCCGTGATCCTTCAGTCTGGAGTGGGTTAGCATGAAACCTGTGCGATTAAACCTATTATGACACGGTTCGGCTCTTATTATTCGGATTGAGCCTTTTTTTTTCATTAAGAAGAGTCCGTCTAAACTAGCGGAGACGCGTCTAGATGCTGTGAGGTAAAGTAAACCCGCTGTTTATCGAAAGTGAAAGTCAAGTGTAGCGATTAGCCGGTGCATATCTGAGAAGTCGCATTAAAATAAGCAAAAACCGCAACAACAACCGATTATTTATTAATAACGGCACTGTTTATAATCAGATTACACATTGTGCTGTTTATTTAATGCGTTCTTGTAAGTAACTCACAAACGATCAGTTTGGTTTGCTCACATCACATCTGTCTGAGATCTGTCAGGCCGAATTATTGTTTATATTTAATATTTAACCTGTTTGGGACATGATTTATGTGTCATCAGTCTTTACTGTCTTTGATTGAGCATCATGGCAGGTTTATTTCCACCCTGCAGCTGCAGAGCTCATAGTCTGACTCATGTAAACCCTGTGTTATTGATTATTATTGATTGACACTAATATCTGATCAATCACGTGTGATAAATTCATTCTGCTCTGAAGGCAGGTCATTCATACAAATGTGCATTAAAATATACAAATATGTCATTTGAATGTGCATTAGTGATCTGTCAGGTATTAATAAAAGTAGCCTAGTTTTTCCATATAGTTTACAGTAATTAATTAGGAGCAGTGCGTTTCATTAATTTCATTTTAAAAATGTAATTTTCTTGTGTTTGATCTTGAGTCACTTCCTCCTGTGTTGAGGACAGATGTTCCATTTTCCCCGAGGCCTGAACGTGCCCTGAATTAAGAAAACACTACTCTTGGTTAATTGTATTTGCTTTGGGAAACAGGTTCACTGGATTATTAACCGTGTCAGTACAGTTAACTCTGTGTCTGTGTGTCTGTGTGTGTGTGTGTGTGTGTGTG